CTTTTCTCTGCATACCGGTAGGGCAAAACGTTCAGTGAACATAGAAAAAACATTTTTGAAGTGAAACTTCCATATAGGCGACGGGGTATTACGATTTTTTCTGTCACGAAAAAGCGTTAGGGCCGCGTGGTTGTGGTAGTCGGTATATCGCGGGGTGAGAGGCGGCAGCGGCGGTGGGAGAAAAAGGCTGGCGGCGGCGAAGAGAGGGTAACAGCTGTATTAGATGAATATAATGCGCAATCGCGCAGAGAGCGGGGGTCCGCTAGAGTCCCGGCGGCGTGTGCTGTGCTAAGCTGTTGTTTTCTTACCTCTTATCTTCACGAGGCTGGGCATCATTGCTTCTATTTGCGGTCTGTGTAAAAACCAAATCATAATTTGCAGTAAACCTGTGAAAACGAAATGTGTTTTGGGACACATAGTAGGAGTGAAACTTCAATACAGACAAGTGGAAAAACGAATCGCAACAAAATTTTTACTTCAAGTTTTACGGTCAGATTGTTAATGTACTTCTTGTCCAATTTGAAAACCTATCCGTAAAAATTCAAGTAAAAATTTTGTCCGATTTTCAAATTGGACAAGTACATTAACAATATGCCATCCTCGGCATATAAGCACCCCCTCTCCTAGTTTTTGGGTAAAAATTGGGTATTCAAGAATATCCGCTGTATAAAAACACCTTCTTAATTTCCGGCGTGGTTCAGAGGAGTTACCCGCCCATCAGCATTAGTAGCCGGTGGGAACGAAACACTTAAAACTTTTTTAGTTTTTTGTCCATATTCCAGATGACGTATTAGATATCTCGCGCCCAGCTGTTAGAAGTTAGACTATTGTTGTTTAATAATGGAAATTCTAACAAGTCACTGATTTTTATGTATACCTAATTTTAATTTCTCGTGATTTTGCGTATTTTAATACGACCGTTAATCATAACGTTTCGTCTTTACAGAACTGGAATTAGTTTTTTGTTAATGAGACTAACATGTATACGAAAATGTTGCATGTGTTATTAAATAGCGACCATGTAAGTTAGTGTCTCGAGGTTGCAAAATAACCGTTTACCGTTTTAAGCATGTAGATGAAGAGGGAATTAATTGTAACGGTGTAAACTGGACTATATAATAAATACTTATACAAATAAGTATAAAGTTTAATTTGTGTCCTACTGTTTCCTAAAAAAGTCTGACATTCAATTCAGTTTATGGTTTAAACTATTAATTGATATAAGTATGTAATATGTACATATCTCAATAAAAATTTCATCGTTCGTCAGTATGAATTTTCAGATTTCTGAAGCCGTAGGTTGTAGTAGCCGAAATAATTTTTTATTTTCTTGGGTTGGGTCACATATCATTAGAATGAGTTGTCGGACTTGGCAACCAAATTACACAAATAAATAAAATATTTTAAGTATTCAGTTCGAAGGTTTTTGACTGTAGTTTACTGCATTGTAGTATTATTGATATGGATTCTACCCGTCTTATCATCTCCTGAAGGTTAGGTATCGGGTTGGTGCTTAAATTATGAAATTTAATCAGAGCAATGGCTCAAGTTACTATTGGTATCTTGAACTTAAATCAAATGAATAATTGATAGAACAACATACGCTGCATGCTAGGAGCTCTATGGGGCAAGGTTTTTATTTTCAACCATATTACGTTATGATTTTGGCAACCCCTGAAAGTGCCTACCGGAGCGGGTGTCCCGGTTTGCCCTTGTTAGATCCGGGGCTAAGGAAAACAGAAAAACGAAGCGGTTAGGTTAGGTACAAGAGGTTATTGTAGGAAGAGATAACACGAACGAAGTGCTTATACTTCCTGATCTGAGATTGTAAGTGTTAATGCCGATTGGCTTAAAAATAGCATATTCAAGGGGCCGTCCTTAAAATACGTTTGCAAATAATTAGGAGGTAGGGGTATTGCGTAGGCTGCTGGGACATGACAATGGCGGTGGGGGATATAAGGAAATGTGGCGTTTGCAGTTCATTAATTTTTTTCTTAACTTGGCAGTTCGTAAAATTTTTTATTTTGGTAGAAAGTCATCCCAGAGTCTGTAAATAAACATATGGATAGTAGAATTAATGTTGTAGATTTATATTTTTAATCACATCAAGAAATTGTTTATAGCGCTCTTTTTAGTTTTATCTTTGTAATTAAAGATTTTGCGACATCATATTTTTTGACTAATGTCAGTATACATGGCTTTTAGCCCGGGGATTTACATCAATGGCTTAATGGAAGCAATCTTCTTTCCTTTTTTTTTTTGGTGTTTTATTTATTTAACAGCTACCAATGCTAGTGTGCGGACAGTTCCCTCGGATAACTCCAGAATGTATGGCGGAAGGCCCTCTTCAGCATTCCTTAATGAATCGTAGGAATGGGTGGATGGTGGTTAGCGTGAGAAAAAAGAAACGTAAGAAAATTTTGAGCAGGGGTAGACAAACCTGCTACAATGGTTTCTAGGGCGTCTCAATAGTCGGCCAGAACGAAATTTTGATTTTTAAGGCCAATGAATATTCGTTTAATATCCAAGTACATTCAGGCAGCGTATTAAATATCCGGTTTTTCTTTATGTACCAGGGCGGTTTTATGTCAGTGACTTTTTGAATAAGAGGATTTTTTTAGCAGCGTTTTTCCAATTTTTTTTATCCCTTCCGAATAATAGGTTTCCTCAAGGTCTTCAAAATAGACATAAGATTCAGTGATGACCTCTTCATTTGACCGAAATCTCTTACCGTAGGGGGCTAAATCGCGAGAACATGCTGGATAGGACACCAGTTCGTAGCCCAAATGACGAATTTTTGCTACGGCGACTACCCGCGCATTGTCCTAGTGAAAAAACATTATTTTCTTTGTCAAATGCAGTCGTTTTCGCTTCAAATCAATCTCGAACATATCCAATAGCTCTGAATGGTAATCAATGTGAATGACACCGCGTACATCCCATGATCTTGTTGGTCGATAGACCAACTTGGGCTTTTTTAGTGCACGTTACCTTGGACAAGTCTACTCCTTTGGCTGTTATTTGGTTGGTGGATCCGTGTTTCGTCTACGATTGTAAAACCACGCAAAAATTCCTTCAGATTACGGTTGAACATCGCCAAATACACAGGTGGTACTTGACAGGAGCTAAGTTGAATTTAATGTTAGTCCTATTTTATCACTGTCGTACTTCAAATAAATTATATCTTTGGTTTATCCACAGAATTATTTGAGATAATAAAAGAAATGGAAGTTTTAGAACCTCTGGCATATGAGCCGATTCGTTACGATAAGATAAATGTATATGTGCACACATACGATAATAACCAAAGCGACTTTAGGCTATAAACAAGCACTTTATGTAACAGCACGAGTCGACCATTTAGATATTATCGTTTAAAATTCAAATTGCTAAAGTCTGCAAAAATGGCATCAAGGTTTTTGTTGAGCCAGACGGTCGGTTAGTTTGTGCTTATATTAAATTGCAATTATTATCGATTCGAATGCAGAAATCGAACGAGTTCATAAACGTCGAGCTTGGACCATTTCGTACGCGTTACGAGCAACAAAACAGACGCGAAATGAAAGAGAAATGAAGGCGAAATTGTTTTTTAATTTCTTGCGCTGATAAACTGTTGATAGGATACGATTTGTAGTAGCGAATAATGGGGAATTAATTCAAAAAGGAGGTCCCGTGGCCTAATAAAGGTAGTAGAAGTACATAGATTAAAAGTAAAATTGTTTTTAAACCGTTCATATCCAATTTATTGCCTGACCATGATAAAGCCAGACAGGGAGGAGTGTACTTACTGTTTTTCACACGTGTCTGCATTTATAAATGTTTCTAATACATACACGGAGAAAATGAGAAAAGAATATTTATCTAAATATTAAAGCGATATTTACAATTTATCCCACTAGTTCGTTTCTTCGTAAGCGAGAATAATAAAAATTACAATTTGGACCCGGATTTGTAAAAATAAAATCCCAGCAGAAATAAATTTACTTAGGTAGTTTAATTAATATTACAAATTTAATTGTAGTAATTATGAAACTTGAAATAATTTTTAAACAAACTAAAGAAAAATTGAGATTATTACAAGTTACCTAATAAATTCTACTATTTCTACGGCAAATTCAATTGTAATTTTTGCGTTGTCATAAAAATTTAGTTTTCTCCGTGTAGTTTAAAAACTTTTGTCACAGTTCTGTTTTTTATTTGCAGACTTATCGAGATTAAAATAAGTTATTTATAAATAAATATCTCACTTTAAAATCAAATTTAAATTAATATCAAATATTGAGGTCTGCAATCCCTTGGAACTATGAATAAATCAAACTCGTAAGGGGATCTAAACCTACAGGGTACTTGCCGTTGATCTAGAATCATAAAATTTGGCAGGAAGCAGGTAGCACAAGTAAAGGGGAAAATTCGAAAACCGTGTAGCTACAAAAAAATTTTTTTTTTTAATTGTAATATTGTAATTATACGTTTTGGAGACTGATTTTGGGGGAAACTTAAAACATACTCGAAAAAAGTCTTAAAACACGCTAAAAAAGTCTTAAAAGGTACTCGGAAAAAGTCTTAAAACATACTCGGAAAAAGTCTTAAAACATACTCGAAAAAAGTCTTAAAACACGCTAAAAAAGTCTTAAAAGATACTCGGAAAAAGTCTTAAAAGGTACTCGGAAAAAGTCTTAAAAGGTACTCGGAAAAAGTCTTAAAACATACTCGAAAAAAGTCTTAAAACACGCTAAAAAAGTCTTAAAAGATACTCGGAAAAAGTCTTAAAACATACTCGGAAAAATTCTTAAAACATACTCTAAAAAAGTCTTAAAGGGTACTCGGAAAAAGTCTTAAAACATACTCGGAAAAAGTCTTAAAACATACTAGAAAAAAATCTTATACGAACTATTTAAAATCATAATTTTAGTCAACTGATTTAAGTCATCTTAACCCTGGTAATTGAATATGTTGTGCATCTTCATTGTGTGTAATTTTTCTTTTCTCTTTTGTTTCAGGGTGATTACATCCGACATCCGGTTTTGTACGAGTTGTCGCACAAGTACGGTTTGCAGACGGAAAACCTTCCGGACTCCTTACTTCCTTGCAAGCTCGAAGAATTAAAGGAGGTGATTAGACGTGAAATCCGGAAGGAATTGAAAATAAAAGAGGGAGCAGAAAAATTGCGCGAAGTGGCTACGGACCGGAAGTCCTTAAGCCACGTAGCCACGATAGTCAAAAATGCAAACTCGAAACTCGCGGAACTCAAAAATGAACTCAGCGAACTCGAGTCGCAGATCATTTTGTCGCAGGGACAGAGCACACCCTCTACACCCCCTACCAATGGTGGTAAGTTGATGTTTTTTTTTTTATTTTAATTTCTCGTTGTCACATTGTTCAAAATTTTTATCGTTTTTATCGTTAGTAGAAATTAATTTAATTTAAATAATCAGTTAACGAATTGTTATATATACTTATTTAAATTTTATTTACTGAAATGTAATATGGCAGTTTGAGTGTTACATCATTAGAATCCATTTGTTGTGCGTACTTTTGAATTCGACTCAAACAAAAAATACTTTTTTAATGGTAAAAAGGTGGATGATTTTCGATATTTAGGCGTCAGGTAACTCAGGATGGAAAGGCGCCAGATATATAAAACAGAGTAGCGCAAGGTGGTTGGGTCACTTTTAACAAAAAGAAATCACTTTCGTACCCCGAGTTCGGCTCATTATGGGTACGACTCTGTATGGGTATGAAACGTACATGGTGGGTGCTGTGGAGAAAAAAATGTTTGAGATATGGCGTTATAGATGGATGTTAAAAAAACCGTGAGCAAAAAAGGTAGGAGTAGGAGAACAGATTAGATTACTCTTGAAATAGTTAAGGATGTGGGTTGTTCTAGTTTTAGGGAAATGCGAAGTTTAGCTCAGTCTTAGGACTGATGACCTTATGATGATGAGGAGAACAGACAGTGTTATTGTTGTTAAGGAATAGGCGAGACAGTTGGTAGGACATCTTGTCAGACATGATGGGCTAAATAAACAGGAGTATAGATACCAGGAGCATAGGTAGACCCAGATTAGGCTGCTAATCGTAAATAGTTAGAGATGCAGATTGATCTCGTCTTTGAGAAATGCGAAGATGTGCTTAATATAGAAGGAAGTGGAGGTTTCTGATGATGAATTGTAAATGTTAAAACAACGTCAAGGTAGCTGGTAGGACACCTTCTCAGGCGAAAAAAGAAGTCACTTCTATGTTCCCGAACGGCAGATTTAGAAATTCCAAAAAGATTGTTAAAGATGTATGTTTGGAGCGCGGCGCTATACGGGTGCGAAACACGGACGGCGGCTGCGGCGGAAAAGGATAAGGTTAGAAGCGTTCGAAATGTGGTGTTACAGGCGAATGATGAGGATATCGTGGATAGAGAAGGTTAGAAATGAAGACGTATTAGAAAGAATAGGAGAGCAGAGGAGTCTAGGGAAATCAATAAAAAAATAGACGGGATAGGTTGGTAGAACACCTTCTCAGGCATGAAGGTCTAGTCCGAGACATATTAGAGGAAGAAACAGGAGGAGGTATCAGTAGTAGACGTAGACCTTCATTATATTACTGTTCGCAACAAGTTAAGGATGTGTGATGTTCTAGTTTTAGGGAAATGCGAAGATTAGCTGAGGATCTGAAAGAGTGGAGGTGCGTATCCAACCAATCTTAGGACTGACAACCTTATGATGATGATGGTAGGTTTAAAGTAACTACTGTAGAGCCGTAAGGAGGGATCCGAGTCGAGTCTTCTAAATACGTAATTCGTTTTCAAAATCAGGATCGATCTTGCTTTCGAATATTTCAGTATTCCTGATGCGACGCTGATATTATAGTACAGAACTAATTGATATTCTTATGCGTTTATTGTTGTCTTAATAGAGGCGTTTGAAGGTCAGTTCCGTTTAGCGTTGCGTTTGCTTTCTTAGCGCAGATGCAAAAATATTAGTGCGAATTCGACTAATCCTATGTATTATCTCGCTTCATCTTCGGGTATCCCGTTGCAGGAATGTGGTAGAATGGCAACGGGAAGGCCAAGGTACGGCCGATCCGTTATTATTGACCTGGTGACAAGTGCGCAGATCGTCAGGTATTTGTGATACAGTCGCTCTCTGATGGAATTTCTTCTTATAAATAATTTATGAACGCGTGAGTGTACCATTACCATAACTACAGGGTGATACCGACCGCGACTTCCTTTTACTTACTTATTTACGTATTAACCAACGGGCTCGTTTGCGGTGATGTTAATTGCTCGAACATCGTCACGTTTTGAATTGAACTGGAGTTTCCTAACCCAGAAAGGAAACATTGCGCTCAAAATAGTTAAATTAATTTGAGTTCACCTTTAACATAATGAATAATGTGTGCATTGAATGAACGCATTCGTAAAACATGCAGTTTCTGTAAACAGTCAGAATGAATGGATTACGTATTACCTATATTGCTATTGTTGCTTTTGTATATTCGGTATTTCAGTCTAATGCAATTCCGATTATTTTCTCAACTTACGGATTTTCCAGCAGGTGTTGCCACCTGCAGACCTCATAGAATAAATGAACCAGCTGAAAGGACAAATTTATATTTGAGTAAGTTTCAGGTAAAACCAGAAGTGTACAGTACTCCTCGTGTTCTTTTAACACTTATCGAGCATAGAAAATTGTTCATATTTGACGATTCATCGTGAAAATCGGTACGGTTCTGTTCTAATCACGAAAATATGTCAAGAATTGTGACATCTGTAGCGTGTTTTGCAATATTGGACCAAGCATGGCAAAAGTTCGGTAAGCGAGCTTGCTCCACGAGAGGAAGCCAATGTCAATACCATGAACAACATTTATTGCCCTTGTTTTTAGTGTTTGAAACGTTCTACGATGTTAATTTTCTGCAAAATTATTGATTTTTATGACCAATACCAATTGATGAATCTGGATATTGAAGCATTTCCACACAGCTTGGTAAAACGTTAATGTACCGAACCTTGGCAGTAGAGGATTGGCTGAATATTGGTTCAATATCGACTAGAAATGCTGGATGTGGGCTGAAGAGAGATCGAAGATGGAAGGAGTCCTGAAGAAACTCGCCTCTCGTGCTAGCGAAATATCCAACTTTCTCAATAGATGTTGGTGTCATAAAAAATCAATAATTTAGCAGAAGATTAACATCGTAGAATGTTTCAAACACTAAAAACAAGTGTAACAAATGTTGTTCATGGTATTAGTATTAGCTTCTTCTCGTGGAGCAAGCTTGCCAACCAAACTTTTGCCATGATCGGTCCAATATTGGAAAATCTTAGATCAAGCTTAATCTTGTCGTTACTTCCTGTATGCACAGGTGATCTGATCGCACTAAAACACGCTACAGATATCACTATTTTTAACATATTTTGGTGATTCCCTTTATTAGAACCTAACCCTACTGATTTTCATGATGATTCGTGAAACGAACAATTTTCTACTATATCAACTCGTTTCTTCATGCTTGATAAGTGTTACAAGAAACCGAGGAATACTGTTCACTTCTGGTTTTATTAAGAGTTACTCAAATCCAAATTTAAGGATTCCCTAAAATCTGAATTTTTGTGAAATTGGACATTTGTTGAATAGTTTTCCGTAAATTTGTATCATCCGGTATATACACTACATATACACATAGTTGTATGGCAACATATGTCCAGTTGTGATTTGCATTATTAAATCGATAAGGTGGACAACACCATCCGGCATGCCATGATTAATTAATAGCCTACCTCTTCATTTGACACTCGAGTGCAAGTGGCACTTTGATCTTATTTATATGCATGTCCGAATGGTTGTATGATGTATGACTGTGTACGTGTTTGCTACGGTTTCACATCGGAATGACTTACGGCATACACAATGCGAAGATAAACAAAGTGTACGAACTTCTGATTGCACTTATGCAAATGGCGTGTTTGCTTCCTGTTCAAATATCTTGCAAAAGAGAAAGACGAAAAAAGACACGGTACCATTTACCATTGTCCGAAGTGGGAACGTCAGGTGGGTTTATGCTGAATAAATGTCAAGTTATCCGTTATCTCACCAATTAAATAAAATGATGGTTTGTGGTAGTAACTGCAAGGTCTATGTTGAGAGTAAAGAAGCGGGCCAATTTTTTTTATCGAAATTTCTGATTTTATATAATAATTATATTTGTAGGATTTGAGTTATTATAATATATACAGTTGCTTGCCCAGGTGCAAGAGCGATACCAGTTAGGTGGTGGTAGATTGATGATTTAGACGTATTTTTGGCTATGAATTAAGACATGTACATTTGAAGACGCGATACATTGTAAATAAGTTGTTCCTGATATTTAGTTCTCTTATTCGTTTTGATGTTTGATGTTCGTTGTTGTTTTTCTTCATTATTAATATTATTACATATTTATCAAATCACCCGGAGCCTTATTAAACAACCCCTAGACACGAGAAAAAGCCTACATATTTTAAACAGGGTGACTACTAAACAGTAATAGCTTGTGATGAATTGAACTGGTTGTTCTATGGAGTTTACTAACCTACTTTTTGGAAGTTAATTCTATTCTACAATCCTTCATAAAAGCGAAAAACCCCGCAAGATCCTTAGGGGAAATGACTCTCTGTAGACGTGTAGATCAAAAGTCTGAATTGACGCTAAATCGTAAAAACTCAACGTTTTGAGACATGAACCCTTAAAGTTGCATTCTTCCTTAAGGACTCGCAAGGTACAATTATAGGTAACTATTTTACGTATTGAATATATTCCAGTATGCATATATCCATATGTTGATGCATACTAGGGATGTGTCATGGTTTTGGACCTGGGATAGTAATGCCCTCTGGCATAGTCTACTTATAGGGAAAACTGTAATCAAAGACCAACATAGAATATCAGGGCCGTCTTTAACCTATTGGAGACCCTGGGCACATAAGCCTACCGGGGCCCCTACAGCTTTGTCAGAATTATTTTGGTTTGTTATTTGTTTCTTTACATTCACATAAATGAATAGATAATTGTAATATGACTCGAAAAAGTAACTCTAATATCATTCTCAGGTTGGTACTTAAAATTGTGCTTTTTGAAAAGACACCCTTCTAGTTTTCAGATATGCAAAATCGTCAATCACTTGTTCAAACTCATTTTCTCTGAGCAAATCCCATTCTATGGACTGATCACTCTTTGTTGAAGTATTGTTCGTCTTAACTTAATATTTATACTTTTCCGTTTAAAGAAGGAGCGTTCGCCACTACAGTTAGTTACCATCATGTTTAAAAAGATTCTCAATGCAATTTCTACATTTAGAAA